CCACCCCTATCCCACCTACCCCACCATATCCACCCACCCTTCCACAACCCTGCCCTACCCCACCCTAAATAGAAATATTATTAAGAGTACTCTCTTTTCATGTTGTAGATAGAGTACTTTCTTTTTAATTTCAGCAAAATGAGTATTATTTTTTTCGTAATGTAAAAAAGTATTTTTCATTCATTTCAACAAAAAAAGTACTTTCTTTTCATGAAGTAGAAAAAGTATTTTCTTTCATTTCAACAAAAAAAAAATACTTTCTTTTCATGATGTAGAAAAAGTATTTTCTTTCATTTCAACAAAAATAAATGTAGTAAAAAGCATTTTCTTTCATATCAACAAAAAAAATACTTTCTTTTCATGATGTAGAAAAAGTATTTTCTTTCATTTCAACAAAAATAAATGTAGTAAAAAGCATTTTCTTTCATATCAACAAAAAAAATACTTTCTTTTCATGATGTAGAAAAGTATTTCCTTTCATTTCAACAAAAATATGTAATAAAAAGTATCTTCTTTCATTTCAACAAAATAAGTAATTTCTTTTCATGATATAGAAAATTTACTTTCTTTCATTTGAACAAAATAATGTAGTAAAAAGTACTTTCTTTCATTTCAACAAAATGAGTATTTTTCTTTTCATGATGTAAAAATCTATTTTCTTTCATTTCAACAACAAAAGTACTTTATTTTATTATGTAACAAAAGGTATTTTCTTTCATTTCAACAAAATAATGTAGTAAAAAGTATTTTCTTTTCATGACATACAAAAAGTATTTTCTCTCATTTTAACAAAATGAGTACTTTTTCATGTTGTAGAAAGATTACTTTCTTTTTCAACCAAAAAAAAATAGTATTTTCTTTTTAGTTATGTAGCACAAATTTCAACGTTATTTTTGTGTGAAAAAGCAAAGCAGCACATAGTCACTTTGGGTTTGTGTGTATGGGAGCCGGGGGGCGGGGGGAGGGGGGGTTAAAAACTTACCCGCACCAGGTGTTTACATCCGGCCAATAAACAAATGACACATATTACTTTATTTAATTACAATTATTAGTATTTAACCTTAGTTAATTTGCACATGATCTTAATTAATAATATGAATACTTAATAATCATGCTAGCTATTCCTTGTTACCTTCTAAACAGTACCGTCAACCTATCCCATAGGCCACCATTGGCCATTACGAACTTCGAAAAATAATTTTCTTCTCCTATAATTATTACTATGATATTTTAATCTTAACCAACCAAATTATAGGGCACTCTACTAGGTTCTATTCATCTGACTATAGAAACAAAATTTTCTTTTCTTCCATCCACCCTCTGTGGATCGAAATTTTAGTCCTCTCATATGCACATGTACATATTAGAGTACAAAGTTTAGACTCCAATCCGTTGCTTTTAGTTTGTACTCCCCAATCAGTACGTCTTCCAAATTACCCTTTTGATTTGCAATGAAGAAATGAAAGAACGAAAAACACAAGACTCCAACAAATTAAAAGATGCTAAGGACGTGACGGCAATCCTAATGTTTCTGAGGTTAGTAATTACTCTGAGTTTGACAATATTATCTTTTTGAAAAAAAAATATTTATTAAAAATAAGACTCATAATATACCTTAATTTGTTTCCTATGATTAACTTAACTATGTTGGGTGTAAACATTCGGTGCGGGTAAGTTTTTACCGGGGGGAGTGGAGCATAGGAAACATGGGGAAGTAGCATAAAAAATTATTTTCCTGAAAGATATTTTCTACTCTCTAAACACACATTAAAAAATATTTTCCGAAATTTTTTTTTTTACTCCACCAAATAAGAGAAAATAAGTGATAAAACTACTCATTTTCCAGGAAAATATACATTTTCCTTCGTACCAAACACGCCCTATATTAAACTATTCTTTATTCAACCTTGGCGCTTGCAGCTGTCGAATGTGGTAAGACTGTGCTGAATAATCTAATGAATCATACACACAAGCAACCAAAGGTGAAAATTATGTGGCTGTCAAGGCTCTAATGCTGGAAATTTCTCCTTGTTTCTTTCACATCTAGGATTTAAAATAGTTTATGAAGTTAACAAAGCAAATTATGATTTATGAATGGCAATAAAACAGGAAACAATAAAATAAAATAGAAGTATACAATTTAACGTGATTTAGTAAGCCAACCTACATCCACGTGTAGATAAACAATCCGTTCTTCCAAAAAAGAATATTAAAAGGAGAATAACAATATCAAGTGACATTCACTGCTGAGGATATCCACACACACGTGACAGATAAATTTGTCTTACATATACTCTCCTTAAATTGAACTTTCTAATTTTAGGTTTCTAGATAAGACAAGTAAATTTGGGAAAAGAAAGAAGTAAAAGTCTCCTAAAAGAATTCAAAACTCAGGAATCTTCTTTTCTAGATAGATGTTAGACTAAAATTGAAAAAGTCGAGAATTCTTTTTAATATTCGTGAAAATGAAAACTGAAATACGAAAATACTGTTTCTTATAATTTCCACATTAAAAGTAAAAGGTCGAGCATATGATGCTCTAATTCATCCTCCTTTCTTTTTGTCCAGTCGTTAAGAAGTTTCGGATGCTAAACGCCTTTATTCTCATGCTTTTGGAAAGGAAAATTAGCTCAACAATGTTTAATATATAATAACCCAAAATTTTAAACATGTAAAATACATTTTAATTTATTTATGCCCGACTGAGGTTACATTTCTCAGGTTTATAATCATTTCACGTCAACTGGATAGCTTTGGTCAAAATTATTTTTATCTTTGAAAAGCTCATCCTATTTTTCCCAAGATATTGATTATCAAATGATTAATGGTTTTAAGAATATCCAACAAGGAAGTATTAACATTTTCGGATATAGATTCCTTCCCTTTTTTAATATTAAGTATATGTCACATGATATACTCAAACCACTTTGCATGGTGCTTATTTAGACAGTAAATACTCTAGTAATAGCTTTTCGATTTTTAAAATAAAATAATACACACTTAAAGCAAAAAAAGAAATTTGAGGGGAAAAAACAAGATTCTTAAGATGACAACTGCGTATCAAATTATTTCTCCGGAAAGATATCTAGACCACTTATTTATAAACGTTACGAAAAGCTGTCTAAACTCCGGCCTCCACAGTTTTAGCTAAGGAAAAAGGATTTATTTATTTTTGTTTAAGTTACATAATGTAAAATAATTTAATTATCCGTCTAATTTGGTCGATTATAACAGGTTATTATTCTTTAGTTTGTTTAGGTTATAAGTTTAGACTTGTTATGAATAGATATCTATTGCAGATAAAGTTGTAAAAATTTATATACTTCTGTACACAACTTTAAATTCAAGAGAAAAACTGGTGATCTCGCTTGAAATGGAAATCACAATTCAAATCCATTTTCTAGCGTGGGGTAAAACCTCATCTCAAGAATCTAGAGCTGAAATAAAGAATATTACTGCAAAAGGATATAGTTTAATGATATGGGTGAAAATGTTTTAAGAATAGTTTATCTGGATTCACTTTTTACTGTCCTAGCTCCTTTCCCTTCTCAATTCTCCTGCTACATAGTAAGTAAAGGGCAGCCAGGTGCTCATTATTAATATTACATGACCAAGAAGTTACGGGTTCGAGAAACGGAGAAATGAAAGAAATAAGGTTTGGTAAAAATGAAAATATATTAGTGTATAAAGCTAAGCTTTTCTTCTTGTTTTCCCCAAAATATTCATGGTTAAGACGTGGGGAGGAGCCAAGAGCAATGGACACTTCATTATACTATTTAAATAGGAGCCAAGAGCAATGGACACTTCATTATACTATTTAAATATTTCCTTTGACCCTTGACCTCTACAGTCTGCAAATAATCTATAAATATGGAGAATTCCTTTTTTACTTTCCACTTTCTCCCTTTCGAAGTAGAATTTTCCACAATTAACCTTTTCTTCACAATAAAACACACAAACACATAGTGCATGTTCTGAAATCTTATATCAGTGATGCCCAAGTGTTTTAGCTTAACGGCTACAAAGAACAGATGCCTCAAATCCAGTTTCAGCAGTCGGGGTCTCCGATCTACTGTCACTGACCTCAAAGATGGCACCATCATGCACTGTTGGGTACCCAAAACAAGAAAATCAACCCGACCCGACTTGGTCCTGATCCACGGGTTCGGCGCCAACTCCATGTGGCAATGGAGCGAAACGGTACGAATCCTCTCACGACACTTCAACGTCTACGTCCCCGACTTAGTATTCTTCGGAGACTCCTACACGACCCTACCCGATCGGTCCGAGTCATTTCAGGCTGAGTGCGTGAAGCGCGTGATGGAGGCAAACTCGGTGGTGAAGATGAGCGTTGTTGGGCTGAGCTACGGTGGGTTCGTGGCGTATAATATGGCGGCGCAGTTTAAGAATTGTGTGGAGAAAGTGGTGATTTGCTGTGCCGGAGTTTGTTTGGAGGAGAAGGATTTACAAGAAGGGTTGTTTGCGGTGAACAGTGTGGAGGATGCGGCCAACATTCTGCTGCCGCAGACGGCGGAGCAAATGAGAGAGTTGATGGGTTACACGTTCGTTAAAGCTCCGGCGAAAGTTTTGCCTTCTTGCTTGCTTACTGACTTCATTGATGTAAGTGTCTCATTTTCCAATTAGTTCTTCTTACATCTTTGTCTGCCTTTTAATTAACTACAATTATTAGTTAACTAATTATCTGAAAAATAAAATTGACAATATGATATAACTACTTTATGTACGTAGCACTGTTACCATGAGAAGCGTAACGAGATTTTCTGTGAAACTTTGATTTTCTGTGAAACTTTGCTTTCTAATTTAATATGTGACTTAAATATTTTGAATTATTAATTTTGTGACTTGTCATTTTTTTGTAATTTTTAAAAAATATTAATTTTATTTCAGAAAGACATACAGAATTCTTGTACTCCAATCAATGCTAGCACAAAAGATTAAAGAAAGGAAGATAATTTTTATTTAATTCAACTATATACAGTTGAAGCAAAGACATTGAATGCGTTCTCACGGGCAGTTGAAGATGCAGATCTACCAATTTAATGTTTCGGTATTTTTTTGATCTTTCAAAATAACAGAGTTTTAAATTTATAATAGACGACATCTTAGAATAAGAAAGAAGGAAATGATTTAACATAACTCTTTACAATTTGAATAAAAAATAAACCTATAAAGAACGTGTTTTATTTTCAGATATTGCTTGTCTAAAACAAAACAAAAAACAAAACAAAAAATTATAATAGGTCACAAAATCATTTGTGGTTCCACGTTCGGAATTTGCAACATGAATAAAAAAAGCATGTTATGCTAGAGTAGAATAAAAACTTCTTTTCCTTAAGATAAACCGCATAAGGATCATAATCACTTATAATAATTGTAAAATCTCAAAATATCAATTATTAAATGACAAACTACTCCGGCCCCATTTAAAAATTAATTAGTTGAACGTGAAGAAATGAATATAAAGCTCCAAACGAGACAATCTCTATAAGTTGGGTGGATTATGTGGTTTAGTGGTTGGTTTGGATTGAACTTAGTGGTAGATAAAGGAAAAAACCTTGATTCTTCTTGCATTTACCAAAAGGATCGAGCAAATTGAAGTGAATCAATGCCAAATCCCCACTTAATTAGTATCTTTAATCCATTTTTTGCTGCCCTCAAGATGCGATGGTAGAAACTTAATTACTTGCGCATGTGTTTATATTAATTTAATAAATACATGACATATTTTATACACTTTTGTTACTAACTTATAGTTAATTAATATATTCTTATCTTAATTTATGACTTGATCATGATATATTAATATGACTTAGTACAACATCAAATAAAGAGATGTACCATTGCAAAAATGATATTGCAGGCCTTGGCGGATTCGGTTGGCCAATGGAACGTTTCATGTGTTGCTTACCTAAACCAATTTCGGTTAGATCATCGCTAGAATCAATTTATATATGAAATAATAATAAGTGGACATGATCATCTTTGTCATAACTCATAAGGAATATCTGATTTTATTGAACAGAGAAACCAAATGAGGTCAAGAGTCAAGACTTTGACATCCTTGTATCTGTCTTTTAAGACTAAGATTTTGTGAGGTCCTTACAAAGATATTTAATAGCCTTATCATAGAGTATTTGTCTAAATAACATGTTATCTCTCCATTAAATACTTGGCGATTAATTAACATTCCACTAACTGAAATAATAAGGGTTAACTTGGAAAGAGTAACAAATGCTTCTAATTTTTTTCAAAACGTTAAATATATCAAAACAAATTCAATTTGGGAAAAAGGACAAATATTTGTGACGAGGGAGTAGTACAACAAAAATTAACTCCCCTAACACAAAATATTGGAAAGCACTTTTCTTCGTTTCTTCTTCTGGTGAATGATAATTTTAATTTGGTGTCATGAGCAGGAAATGTTTACAGATTATGTAAAGGAGAAGAAAGAGTTGCTTCTTGCAATTGCGAAAGACAGGAAGCTTTCCGATCTACCTAAGATCACTCAGGTTTTACGGCTTTTTCCTTGTCTTCAACAACGTAACGGTCTACAATACTCTAATTAACATTGCTACTATTGTTTTTCCTAATTAGTATAATGTTGCTTTCTTTACAGCCAACGTTAATAGTGTGGGGAGATCAAGACAAAATATTTCCTTTACAACTAGGTCACAGACTGAAAAGGTTCATTTCCCCTACTGGGTTAGGTGTAATTTTATTTACATAAATAATCGTTTATTACTATGTTTTCTTGGGGTTGTGACTAACATGTAAATATTATTGGTGGCAGGCATTTAGGTGAGAATGCTGAACTTGTGGTGATCAAGAATACAGGCCATGCTTTCCTTTATGAGAAACCCAGAAAATTTCATAAGCCTTTGAAATCCTTTCTCTTGGGTTCCACAAAAAGTCCTTCTCAGAACCAAACATGATTCACTTTGGGGAAATTTTTCTATGTATTATCTCAATTTTTACTATGTGGCTCTCATTGAGAGACACCATCCTATGAAGATTTTTACTTCTGGTATTCACGGTCTAAAAAACAACCCATAAAAAAGTTGACTTCATAGCTAAAAATATAAGAATAAAAAATGTTTTCTTTTTTTGGTTTCCCACCCGGTATTCGGTACCTGCATTGGAGCCGACTATATCCTGATTCGCGCTGCGTAGGGCCTCATTCGGGGGGAAGCGCTCCCTACCAAGGATTTTTCCATACCCAGGGCTCGAATCCGAGACCTCTGGTTAAAGGAGGAGCAGTCACTTCCACTGCACCACATCATTTAGTGGTATAAAAAATGTTTTCAAGCGCATAGCCTGAAGCATAACTTTACTTTCCTGATCTCGTAGCACTGACGACGAGTGTTGTATGGAAGCCATGAAACACAAATACATTTTGCTTCAAGTACATAAATGTCACGCCCCAAAAATCGAGGAGACGATCGGCGCTCAACCGAGTAAATCCGACTGAGCAAACCTGCAAGGTTTCATTCTACCCAAACTAATTCATGAATAAAGAGGTGATGAACTCCATTAATCATACTTTGTAAATATTTCATTAACAACTTCCATTTTGTTTCCATTAGTCGTTTCAACTATAATATCCAAAATATGACAATTTTTATAGATATAAAGAAAAATATATTTGCCAAATACAAATATTTCTAATTTAATTTCCAATATCAAACACCACTCACAACCTGCCTACGGAGCCTCTAAGTACAATTGAAGAGTAATATGGAAATGCCGGCAACAAGGCTCTGGCTATACCTCAAAATACAAAGTATACGATAACCAAAATGACACAGGACCTCGAAATGAAGTGAGGATCACCAAGTTAGCTGAAAGGAGCGTACCGCTATCACTGGTCACTGCCGCCTACTGTGGAACCACCTGCATTCATTAAAAACGCAGCGTCCCCGGCAAAAGGGACGTTAGTACTGTCGAATAGTACTAGTATGTAAAGCTAAAAATCATCTTTCAAAATAGAATAACCATACAAGAAAAGGAAAGACATAGAAACAACAAGTCCCCATGAATAATAAACAAATGCCCAAGTGAAACATAACAATTTTCAAAATACGAAAGTAATACATATTTTTAGTTCGGAGATCTTTAGTACCGATAATACCACAGTTCACGATACCATTATCCACAATACCACTGTTCACAATGCCACTATTTATAATGCCACTGTGCTCTTGGCACGGAGTCTGATCACAACCCGATCGGCTAGGTCATCTCACTGAAGACATTCTTTATAATCTCAATTCTCGTTTCAACATCATCCACAATACCACCGCTTTCTTGCGCGGAGTCTGATCACGACTTGATCGGCTAGGTTGTCTCATTTGAGACATGTACCTCAATCACAATTTCATTATCACTTTACAGTTTCAATATTAGTACAGTACCACCATGTGTGCGGCATGGCGTCCGATCACGGCCCGATCGTTTAGGCCGTCTTACTCAAGACATTCCCATGTTTCCATCAATCATCTCATTCCACATTTATTCACATATATCAATTCATTAGCATTTGGGGCCACAATTATTACATCATACTTGGCACTAGGTCACATTTCATAACCCAAGCTCATTTCCCCCACATTTCACATCATTGTCACTTTCAATATTAAACCTTTCATTTCAAGATAATAGGCACATAGAAGAGCAATTATAAGTTGTAAGCATAAAGAGGATTTCACATATTTCGACATAACAATCTCAATTCAAATTCGACTCGAAGTCTAGGCATTTTAGCACATGTTCCACATTCTTCACACATTCTCAATTGACAAAATAGCATAATGAAAGCACTGAGACACACCTTGCACATATATTCTTGCAACACAAATTCATTTGAAATAGGAAACACTGCATCGATCAATTTTCGGAACTTACAACATTTGCATGGATACCTGTCACGACCCGGATTTCCCGGCCTCGGGAGTCGTGATGGCACATACTAGTGAAAGCTAGGCAAGCCAACCAACTGAACTATCTACCTTGCTTCCATTTTTAATCTGATAATAGTTAAGAGCCAACAATTACATAACAACAGAATGGAATAAGAAGAAGGCTGCATTGTAAAGTTTTAATAATACTGTTAATACCAATCAATAACAAATATATCCAAGACTGGTATCACAACTTCACAGACTGCCTAGGAGTACTACAAATAAAGGTTTGAAAGAATAAATAGAACACTGTCTCTGGAAATACATGAAAGAAATAGGAATAGTAGATAGAAGGAGACGCCAAGGCCTGCGGACGCCTGCAGGACTACCTCGGGTCGCCTGATGAACAAGAAACAGTAATCTCACTGCGGTCCGAAGTCTACAGCCTGGGATCTGCACAAAGAGTGCAGAGTGTAGTATCAGCACAATCGACCCCATGTGCTGGTAAGTGCCTAGCCTAACCTCGGCGAAGTAGTGACGAGGCTAGGACCAGACTACCAAATAAACATGTGCAATATAGCGTACAAAAATAATAGGAAGCAAATAACAATGATGGCAACAATGATCCACCGGTGATATAAAAAGTAGGCAACAAGAATACCATAAATGTTTCTCAACAAATAATACATACAAGTGCAATCAATTAATCAAGTCCTTCAAATATAAATCTTTCGCCTATAAATCCTTCAAGTAATAATCTCGAAGATAATATGCTTTTCAATAAATATATTTCGAATATATTTCCTTCAAATAAATATCTTTCAAATAAGCATCTTTCGAATATAATTCTTTCGAGTAAAGGTCACCTTGTGACGCTTCATTTTATAATCATAAATAATATAGGTCTCAGCCCACTTTCATATTTTCACGGCACCTCGTGCCCATATTTATATCACAACCGCACGGACAACTCACGTGCTATTAAATAAAATCATAATATTTTCCCCGGCACCTTGTGCCCACATATTTCTGTCTCACATTGCACAACAATATCCTCATGTTACTCAGTTCATAGGTTCCATAACCCAATACAATTAAGAATGTTCAAGGAGCCTCATTCACTTAACATAAAGTAGAGTACAGCTTCCAGCGCAATTAGGAAACCAACAAGAAAAGATTAAGTTATTTTTAGAAATCATTGGATAAAGAAAATACCATTTTCAATTAAAGTACAATATCGAATGAAGCATTACCTTTAATACGAGAAATCAATAATTCAAAACATAGTAGAATTCCTTTTTAAGTAAAGTACAACCTCAAACAGTTTAAGAAAAATTTAGTTGAGAAATCAATTGAGTTAAAATTGTAACAATTGCTGAAATTTGAAGTATTGAACATATAAAAAAGATAAAGCGAGGTATTGTAAACACTATGGATTCCAACACAAAGGATCCCAACAGTAAAGGGATCTAAACAGTTAACACACTTGAATTGTTAATAACAAGTAAACACAGCAAACAGAAGGTGCACGGCATCACCCTTCGTGCTTTAACACTCTCTCACCAAAACAATACACGGCATCACCCTTCGTGCTTTATGCTCTTCCTCTCCCAAGCAACAAACACAAGGCAAATAGGGTAAGGGAATCTATAACATCGAAATAAAATCAAGTAACAATAGAAAATCAGTAAATAAACGTAAAGGACAACATAACTCAATTAGAATCAGGAAAAATCAAGGACAAGTGCACGGCATCACCCTTCGTGCTTTTACTCTCGTCCTCACCATAAGAATCAATATAAACTGCACGGCATCACTCTTCGTTCTTTTACTCTCATCCTCACCGTAAAATCAATGTAATCGGCACGGAATTGTACATTGTGCGGCACGACATCACCCTCTGTGCTTTACACTCTTCCTCACAAAATCATACACGACATCACCCTTCATAATTTAACATTCTTCCTCACCCAAACAGCAATCACAAGAAATAAGGGCAAGGAAATAAATGAAATCACAATAAAATTCCGGCAAGGGAACAATAGTACAACAATCAAATTCTGGCAAGGGAAACAACAACAAAACAATAACATCCCGGCAAAGGAGACAAGATCATGATTCTCTCTCTCCTTTCTTCTTTCACGTTTACTTCACAACTCAATTCACAACTTGAGCCAATGCTCTACAATGTTCAACAATTCAATTCTCAACTTGAGCCAACGCTCTACCATGTTCAAAAATTAAATTCTCAACTTGAGTCAACGTTCTACCATGTTCAATTAACAATAATACTTCCACAAATCATATTCCTCAATAGAAAGTATCATATATAGCATATACAATACGAAACGGAGTCACATTAATCAAAGTATAAGACTCACGGGCATGCTTGACACCAACGTATAGATACTCGTCATCATGCCTATACGTCGTACTCAACAAATAACACATAACAAATAGGACACAACTCTTAATCCCGCAAGCTAAGGTTATACCAAACACTTACCTCGTTTTGCAACCAATTCAAAATTCCAACATGCCTTTGCCTCGCGAATTCGTCTGAAGCTTCAAATCTATTCATAATAATTTAATATACTCAATATAAATCGTACGAATTAATTCCATATGAAATTACTAATATTCCGAATTAAAATTCAAAATTTATTTTAAAATTCAACAACGGGACCCATGTTCCAAATCCAAGAAAAACTCACAAAATCCGAACATCCGTTCCGATACGAGTTCAACTATACAAAAATTATCGAATTCCGACATCGGATTGTCTTTCAAATCTTCAATTAAAATTTTGAAGATTTCTACCATTTTCAACCCAATCTTTACCTATTTGAACTCAACAATCTCCCCACAACCTTATTGTTACAAGCAAGAATAACTAATATTCTCACATCCAAGAATCATCTTACTAATTACTCATTTCTAGTTAGATTTTGAAATTGAAGAACTGGGGAAAGAAATTCTTACCTCTCGAAGTCCTAGCAACCCCTTTGATGCGATTTCAAGGTTTGATTCAAGGTAGAGGGGTGCAAATCCTTAGCCCTTCCTTTCCTCTCTCTAGAATCGCTCTCCCCTCTCTCTAGAACACCAGAAAATACCCAAAATATGAGCCCTAAACGAGTTAAATGAAATGGGTCCGGGTCGTAAAACTGAGTATTTGTACAGCCAAGCGCCGCGGGGTGCGGGGCGGTTGTGTAAAAAGTGTTTAGAAATGACATTTCGAAACATTCTGGAATTTTCTACAGACGCGGCGCGCCGGGCGCCGCGTGGGGCGGCGCGGTAGAACAACTTCTGCCAGTGTTTGGTAATTTGGCCATAACTTCTTGTAGGAGTGTCCAAATGATAAACGGTTTGAAGCGTTAGAAACTAGACTCAAAGATCATTCATTTGATAGGTTGTCCATCACATAACCCCTTATATATATATATATATATATATATATATATATATATGTATGTAGATATGATCATCTAAAGTTAGGTCTTGTGCGTACTCATTTGCAACTTTAGTCTATTATGAAATTTTCCAACTTGGCTTAGACTTAGGACTTTCCTTAGATCCCATATATATTATAGTACGCATCGTACACTTGCTATCATATACAATTGGTATCCATCATGGTAATAGACCTCTTCCACATATAAAATAATATAATTAGAACACGCCAACTTTCTCACTTCGCCAAAATGCGCCGAATTATCTTATGGACTTCCGAATCCAAATTCGGACACACGTCTAAGTCCGAAATCACCATACGAAGCTATTGACATCATTAAAATTCCATTTTGGGGCCGTTTTCTCAAAAGCCAACTCTCCGGTCAACTCTTTCCATTTGAGCTTCAAAAATAAGATTTTGTTTTTCTTTAAATTTAACTCTGAATCTTACGAAAACCAAACTCGACCACACACACAAGTCATAATACACACTATGAAGCTTCTTGAGGTCTTAAGCCGCTGAACGGGGTGCTAATTCTTAAAATGACAAGTCGGGTCGTTACAACACCATGGGGGTTCAATTTCTAAGAAGAGGGGGTTTTAGCCACACATACCTCAATAGAGTTTTTAGGCGAATTCTACTTTTTGGAGTCATCTTAAAACAGTTGAGTCTAGGCTCATTTCGTAACATGTTTCATATATTTTCTTATTTCATAGGCCTCACTAGGCACAATTATAGACATTATCTACACTCTATTTCCTCAGTTCATTTAATTCGTTTTCAAACATCTTTATAGTTTATCAGCAACTAGACACACTCAATCATGACATTTAGTACACATGCGAGCAATTAGAAGTATTAAGCATATCGAGTTTTCCTCACCTAATTGGTATACCAGTTTTCAGTTAAGGTAAAACTCAAAGCCATAGCATTTTAATAAGCAACTAAACATCTATCATTCAATACAAGGCTCGTTCGGAATAATTAAGTTTTAGAGTTTATAGGGGATAACCTGGAACATAGAAATTAGGGGGTTTGGGCCGATCATACGTAAACTTACGGAAACATTATGGAATTCAATTCCGAGAGAGGGAGTTAAGCCAACATACCTGGTTGAGCTTTCCTTAAGTTACTACAACGTTTCGAAAATCCTAGCAATCCCAATCTATTTCGAGATCTAACAAAATTGAACACAAATTAGGAAGATATTCATAATCTTAGCTCGTTTGAGCGTTCCATCAAACACTAGGTGTGCATTAAGTCTTTAAGGTCCTTTTATAGAGGATTTCATCAACCTTCAACCCATCCTTAAACATTTTTAGCTCAACAATGTTCCTACACCCGTTGATAACACATGCAAGCAAGATAACAATTCCAATACCCATAAACTTTCTTGATAGTTACTCATCTTTAGCTAAAATTCGAAATTAAGGGTTAGGGTGTAGAATCTTACCTCAAGAATGAAGATCTAGTGTGTTTTTCTTTCTTAATCTTCAAAGATTTGTGTAAGAATTGAAGAATGCTTTAATGAAGATCACCCTCACTCTAGGGCTCCCTCTCTCACTCTAAAGCATCAAATTTTTGCTCAAAAATGACCCATTGCGCGTATTTAACGAAGTTGGATCGGGTTATTAAGATAAAAAAAAAAATGGATAGTCCAAAATTTTCGGACCGGGCTACAGGCTTGGTGTCGCCGGCCTAAAGCTTGGTCCAGCCTGGCTTTAGCCTAGCCTCGCCAGCCTAAAGCCTGGGCCAGCCTGGCTAAAGTCTGATATAGCCGTGACGAAAAATTTCAACTCTCCAACGCATTGTTCAACCCAAAACTCCGAAAATACAATGTATTAACCTGCCTTGACACCACAAAACCTTAAATTACATAGTGAAGTTTTCCGGGATCTAACAATAAATGTAGCTAGAAGGGGCAAAATCAACCGGTTTTATTAACTCGTCCAGCCTGCCCAAGTTTAAATTGTTAAACTAGTATGGGTTAACCAGTTTTCGAAGTGGTAATTAAAAAATAGCCACTATTTTGCTGCAACACAAAAAGTTATATATTGGAGATTGGAGCACCTATATATGAACTTCTAACAACATGCTGGAAGTTCACATGTAAAAAATTCGATTATGTAAATTCAATATATTGGGTCAATATTATCCAACAATTCAATATAGAAATTTATGTAAATTTCTACGAACTTAAACTAACAGTTTAAGAAAATATTTTAGTACTCGATTATTTTTCAAGAAAGAAGCAGAAATAAGAAAATGAGAAGAAATTGATTCATGTTAGGTGAGTTTAGTCATAACTGGTTATTGACCCATCTTGACCCAACTTATTTTGACTGGAGCCAATGTTCGACTGATCGGGTCATAACCCATTTGTTCATTAGATCCAACCTGCCCCCATTTGACACCTCTAAATGTAGGTTGTATTCCTAATAGGACTGCACATCATGCAAAAGGAGAATCAATTTTTAACTGAAAATGAAAAGTACTCTGGGAATGTTTATGTATGCAGGATGAAATACAAGCCAATAGGCATGAATCTCTGAACATTATATGAAAACCAAGATTTTCCACAAGCTTGACATGTCTCCGACCAGCCAGCATCACAAAGATTTGTCTCCTATTATACTTCAGCTAGTTCTGCAAATAGACAGAAACAAGGGGTGATTAATGTGACATGGCAGGCTTCAACTGTCCCCACTATCTAATGCTATGCTACGCGGACTCTCCAAAAAGTTGTCGCACCCGTGTCTGATCCTCCAAAAATGCATTACTTATGGAGGATCCGACACGCACCCGTAGACATTTTTGGAGAGTCCGAGTAACAAAGACCTAATTGTAACTGGAGTATTTTAGCCCAAAAAAATGTAAAATACTTTCATGAAGATCACATTGTTAAAGACATTTTAAAGAATCCTACATATTTCCAGTACTCAGTTGGTTCTGTGTTATGCTTTATGCCTGAAAGCCTATGCAAAATTACAGCCAAAAAATACACAATTGTACATATCACAACTAAGAAGTCACGATTCCGCATTTTGACCTTGGAACCTCACTGGGCTGAGAATTCTACTACTAATTAGAGTTACTCCCATGACCAAATAGTTACTACACAAGTAGTAAACATCTCCACATGGAAAAGCTTCGAAAACCAGATATAAGAGAGATATTAAGTTAACTGTTAGAAATCATACCTCCCCTTGACGCTCATCACCCTTAGAATGTTCACCTGTAAAAATAATCACAGGTCAACATCGTTTTCATATCAGGTAAATCTTTTACATCTTTATGTTTAATTTGTTCTGGAAAAGGATGAGTCAATAAATCGTATTTGTTGATGAAGATTCAAAAGGAGCACTCATTTTGTTTATTCCATCATCATATATCCCTTTAAGTCGAATCAATATATTGAATTCTAGAACATAACTCATGGATCCAGGTAGCATAAGAGAAGCTAATATTAATTGCCAAAGCAACAGGTTCTCCCCTATTTTCCAAATGCAACAGGCATTTAAATCTAGTGCATAATCATCATCGAATCATAATGAAGGGAATTAACTTAGAAAAGATTGAAGCATTCCATTAGACATACCTCCCTCTTCAAGGTCTGAGGTCCACAAAGTGAGATTATCCCTTAGGAGCTGCATGATAAGGGTGCTGTCCTTGTAGGATTCTTCACTAAGGCTATCAAGTTCCGCAATAGCTTCATCAAATGCTTGCTTGGCCAAGTGGCATGCCCTGGTATGAGGTGGATTTTTTTATAAGAAGATAAAAGAGGGAAATGAAATAAGTTATGAGAAGTATCACAATAAAAGCAGATTACAAGTTAAATCACCTTGCCAAGGCATGATCGCATGTGCAAATATAAAGAAGAAAGGTCAAAATACTCGTAGATTACCAGTAATATCGGTTGACACTCTTTACACTAGACTACCTCTTCCTCGCTCTTAAACTCTATCTATACTTTTATTTGAAAGTGCTGCAGCTCAATATCCTCAAAAGGTTACTGATTCACAATGTCAAAATTTAATGAGAAAACCCTTTTCAAAAGCTAGCTTCATTATGAGACGAGGAATGAGGAACAAGGGGATATAAATGAACACCAACAGTAAGTTAACAGCTTCTCTCTATTCATAACATTTATAGATTTTCTGTTCAGAAGGTTGTCTAACCTCTCGGGTGAATTCAGAATCTCATAGTAGAAGACTGAGAAGTTCAATGCAAGTCCAAGTCTAATTGGGTGAGTAGGAGCAAGATCTGCGCTAGCTGTGGCAGTAGCAGCCTACAAAAATAGAGCAATAAGCTTAATTAAGAAGAAGACAAACAACTAAATAAAATAAAAAAATAATTTGTAATCATAAACAACAAGGAAACAAATGCTGCAGCTAGACATAGAAGAATATTGAGCCAAATAAGATAGCGTGGAACAAAAGAAACCTCATAAGCTTTAAGTGACTGATCAGCTGCCTCTTTACGATCATCCCCTGATTTGAACTCTGCTAAATAGCGATAGTAATCTCCCTTCCTGGAGATGAAGTAAAAGGATGTAAACTTGTAATTTCAGCAATCAATTTTTGGGGACAAAAGCAAAAGAAAGACAAAAAAGTTAAATAAGTTTATAAGCGATCACATGGAAAGCAAATATCTTTTCAACTCCATCACAAACATCAATGAGCGACGCACAGACAAAAGAAAAGAAAAAATGNGGTAGTGGAAGAAGGAACAAGGTGCTCATCAATCACCGACAAAATGTCAATGCATATTTTTGTAAGCTCATCTTCAACCCTCTGTTGGTAAGTCTTTATTCTCTTAACATTCTGGTCATGACCCTTACTCTCCTCCTTTTGTTCAATTGAAGACAATATCCGCCATGAAGCCCTTCTTGCTCCAATAACATTCTTATACCCAACTGACACCAAATTCCTCTCCTCAACAGTCAGTTCAACATCCATCTTAGCAACCGTCTTCATTGCTTCTACCATTTCTGGACAAAAAGCAGAGAGTGCACAGAAGCATAAATATCAGAACTTTGAAGAAATCAAAAAGTAAATGAAAGATGGCATGAGATTAGCATGAATTGGAAAGCTACAAGTCTTCTCTCATTTGCATTCTTTGCCTGTAAGCTCAGTAGCTTTTTTATGATGAATTGGAAAACTTCAAACTTTCTAATCTTCTATCATTCGCACTCTTGGCCTCTAAACGTAATAGCTCTATCTCCCACCTCTTTCTCCTCTATTAAGAAAGATTCTGTAAGATAGACTTAGACCAGCATGATCAAGCCAAAACTCTACCTTCTATGCTCAAATGACTCTACATTCCTCTGGCCTCTGCACTTTACCTTATCCTAGACCATAATCAGAAAGGCTTTCACATTTCAACATTGACATCATGTACCTTAAAACTTTGATTTCTGTTACGTTGCCTTATATCCATCACAAGATGTGGTGAAAGTGTAATGCAAGAACTTAGCTTTTTTTTTCTTGGGTCGAAATATGGATTCAAAAAGCTTTGATGGTATATTCCACCTATAGCTACACACAAAACATGCCTTACTATGTAAAAAATAAAAAAAATAAAAAAAAATAAAAACAAAAAAAAAACTAGAAAACAAATTAAATAGACAAACTTCTTATCCAGATTCATTCTCAAATAAAAGCCAAATCTTTGACCACTAGTTTTCATGTTCGCCACACCTAGGTAAAAGCTCTCTTAATTGATCATAAGAAGTAACCAGTACTCTTAGAGACAACAATTCTGGTAGAAATTTAAACCTTCTTAATTCAGTCTTCATGAAGTATAAAACCCCATCTATAATAGAACGTCAAGAACTATTCAAGGCCATTTCCAGTCTAATTTGTTAAAAAAATGTGAAATTAAAAGAAAATAATAGGAATTAAAGAGAAAAGATACTGGATTATACATTACAAACTAAAGGGCAGAAATCAGCACCACAATCAACAACCTCGTGTTAAAAGCGTGTAAAGAGTGAGAACAAAGCAAATTGAACCAAAAAAAAGGTGCACAACTTTAGGAAAACTCAAAAGCACAAAATCCAGAGACAAAAACAAAAGAACACCCAGTATTTCTCTCAAGATTTTGCAAATAAAGATTAATGAAACCCTCCTCAAACGCAAAAAAAAGGAGAGAAGTGAAGCAAATGAACAAAAATATTGACAACTTTAAGAAAACTCAAAAGAAGAAAAACAGAGAATACCCAGTATTTCACTCAAGATTTTGCAACCAAAAAGATTTCAATTTTCACCCTCCTTAAACATCAAATCAAAAGCAGAGAACTGACACTAAACATCTACTCACATACACAAACAAACACACAACTTCATCAGCATAAAAAAAATCAAACAATTTAAAATGAATACCATCATATCTCTCAGCTTGCTCAGCCAGCCTAGCCAAGTAAACCTGTTTCTCTCTTTCCTTCTCCATTTCTCTGCTCTCTCTCTCTCTCTCTCTCGGTATTTCCTTTGAATTATATGATTCTAGTATATATGAAGACTTTTACATTTCTTATACTCGTTTTTCTTTTTCTTTTTAGTATATACTATATAGTATTTGTTTAGCAAGAAAATGATTAAACTAAAGCTGCCTATTTTTTATTTTTTTTTAATATGTGCGGCATTTGGTAACTGCTTTCAAGGGGATGTGCTTATACTGGTTATAGTGGGAACAGTGGGCGGTTAAATCTGCCTTTCCGCCTATCGCCGGCGGTGAATCTAGACCGTCGATTACGAGGTTAGAGGAAATGTCAGCCGTTGGATGGAGTCTGCAGAAGATGACGCTTAACAGGAAGCTGTCGGTCACATGGGTGTCGGATTGACAGATTTTACTGTAACTGCTTTCAACATTGTCGGACATTATAATATTTTAAGGCAATTTATTTTAAGAACTTACTCCATAAAAAAACAAATTATGTTATACTTGTAAATTAATAAATAAAATTTTATATTGTTTATACAATTTAACTTGTTATAATGACTTACTTACTACTACTTTTTATTAAGAATTATCTATCAATGCACTTGAAAATTCTGTTGTATACGGTTAAAATATGGCTTGCCCGATTGTGCCATTTAATTGAGACCAGGGAATCACGTCGAGGGTCAGTCTCGTAATGGATTAGGTTAGAACACGAAGATAAGGTATCGAGGTCGAGAATCGGGGTGCTCGTCAAGATCGAGGCCAACAACGGTCGAGACCATATATAACAAACTTCGAACGAAGCGTAATAACGGAAAGGCGAGATATCCGTAACCGGCTGAAGTCACGGCGGAAATCCCGGAACAGATCAAATCAAGGGCGGTTGTTTAGACTAATCATGGGATTTATTTCTGTTATTAGAGTTATACCATAATTAGGATTCTACTACTATAAAAAGAGGAATCCCCATCATTTGTAAACACCTCACAGTCACGCAGATCAAAGCAATATAATATTCTCTCTTTAATTTACATTCTCTTGCTCATCAGCTTATCATATTTTTTACTCTTCTTGTATTAACCAGTTCGAGGGTATCCGAGCTCGAGAGCTTAATTACGTTGTGACACTGGTTTGCCTTATTTTATTGTCAATTTCAATTACTAATCTTTATATTTATCAATTGGTATTAGGTAAAAATCATGTATCCTTAAAACCACATTATAAGTTTAATTGTTATCCAGTTTTTAGGGTAAACAGTTTGGCGCTCACCGTGGGGCTAAGGATAATAGTGATTGCCTGGTATTAATTTCCGTAACACACACTACTTTACGCTTGTTCTTGTGAGTATTTTTTATTTCAGGGTCATATGTCCAACTCGCAAGCAGTACCCACTCACGCCGTTGACGGCCTCGGTTTCCATGGAGAAAACGACAATGTAGACGCCTCAGGGTCGAAGTGCCTCTAGTTGACCATGAGGGAGTACCTATCGCAGACCCCCTTGATGTCAGCTCGCATGTCACCCTAAATGCAAATCTGGGCGTCGACCCTGGAAATAGTGTCCGTAGAAATGCCCGAGCGACCGATCAGAACGCACAGAGCGGTGAAGAAGGCGGAATTAGTCTTCGAGTAATATTCGAAATGTTGTAGACTCAACAAGCTACGATAGCACAACTCCAAAATCAGAATCGAGCATCAACCAGAATTGAGCTCGAAACATCACAAGAGGTTGTTCATAGAGTTGAGCATGTACCGAAGAAATTGAATACTAATGAATCGGGGATTGACCCCGCCATTATGAAGATGCTTGAAGATCTCATTAAACGAATAGAATCAGGTGAAAAGAAAATCGAGGCTAATGACAAAAAAGGTGGAAACATACAACTCACGGTTTGACCAAATATCGAGGGCACCCCCGATCCTAAAGGGTTTGGATTCGAAGAAGTTCGTGTAGAATCCTCTCCCTCAAAGTGCGGCTCTGAAACCCATTCCTAAGAAATTTCGTATGCTAGACATCCCCAAATACAATGGGACCACCGATCCTAATGAGCACATCACTTCGTACACATGCGGAATAAAGGGAAATGACTTAAAAGATGACGAGATTGAATCCGTTCTATTGAAGAAATTTGGAGAAACTTTATCGAAAGGTGTCATGATATGGTATTATAACTTACCACCCAACTCTATTGATTTGTTTGCTATACTCGCAGATTCTTTTGTAAAAGCCCATGCCGGAGCCATTAAAGTTGCAACAAGGAAATCGGACCTCTTCAAAGTAAGACAAAAGGATAACGAGATGCTCAGGGAATTCGTATCTCGGTACCAAACGGAACGAATGGATTTGCCTCCAGTCATCGACGACTGGGTTGTTCAAGCTTTTACACAAGGTCTCAACACTCGGAGCTCCATAGCTTCACAACAGTTAAAGAAAAATTTAATCGAATATCCAACTATCACTTGGGTCGATGTACACAATTGGTATCAGTCAAAGATTAGGATCGAAGATGATCAATTGGGAACTCCAGTTGGTTCGATTAATCCCAACAGGTCTGTGGACAGAGTTAAAAGGGATGTCGATCGGGAACCACGGTCAAATAGATATAAGTACCAGCCATACAGTGGAGATCGGAGAAATAACGGGCCCGTATGCAACCCCCGTACAGAATGATAGAAGAAATGATCAGGGACAGAGTGTCACGACCCAAAATCCTTCCGAATCAGTCATGATGGCACCTAGTCTCTAAACTAGGTAAGCCTAACATTTACAGAAATAACATTAATATTTACTAACTTTAAATTAAATAACTTTCAATAAATCACAATTCCCAAAACCGATGGTACAAGTCATAAGCCTTTCTAATAGTAATTATGCAGAATAAATACAACACTGTTCCAGAACGAGAAGGAATCAATGGAACGTAAATACAAACGAATGTGATTCCGAGGCCTGCGAACGCAGCAACAAGTTACCGTGAGTCTCCACCGCGACGACCCGCATAGCTACTATCGATCACTACCTGGATCTATACATAAAAATGTACAGAAGTGTAGTATGAGCACACCACGGCAGTGCCCAGTAAGTATCAAGACTAACCTTGGTGGGGTAGTGACGAGGAACAGTCAGGACACCTACTGGTCAAATGAAATAAACAGGATATGATAATAAAACATCAAGATAAAGATAACGAAGTAATATCAACCGCGGAGAAAAAATTCAAGTACAAACAGTATAATCAATAAAGGGAGAACACGAATAGTAACAAACGGAAACCCAGTAAATCAGATAACCCAAGCAATTCAATATTAACATAACAGAGACGGAGAAAAGTAAGAATGTATCCAATTTAAGAAAAAAAATGTCAACACAATCAATCACATCATGTTTAATACACCATCCCGGCCATTTCAATCCACAATTTCTCATATCATAATCTAAACTTTCGAACTTTCAGCACATGTGGCACCTCGTGCCCACATATTTTCCATTTCACTCTTAACAACAAAATCTACATGATATACAATATAAAACGTCCTTACAAAATGTGCTTAAGATGTTCAAGAATTCCTATATACATAATATAAATTAAGTTTCAATTTCTAAATAAGTTTGGAAAATTGGCGAGAAAAGATGAAGTTATGTTTTTAGAAATCATTCGAGTAAGGAGGTACCCTTTTCAATTTAAAATACAACATTGGAAGAATTATTACCTTTAACAGGGGAGTTGATAACTTAAAACTTAGTAGAAATTTCTTTTTAAGAAAAATACAACCTCAGACGGTTTAAGGGAATGTAATTGAGAAACTAATTGAACTAAGGATGTAACAATTATTGAAGTTTGCAGTATTGGAACGTATAAATAAATATATATAAATAC